GTTCCTCAAAACATTAAAAACAGAACTACCATATGACCAGCAATCTCATCGGTATATATATCCAGAGGAAAGGAAATCAGCATGTTGAAGAACACTCATGTTTATTGCAGCATTATTCATAATAGCCAAGATATGGACTTAACCCAAGTGTCCCTCAACCATGAATGGATAAAGAAAATGTGTGTGTGTGGAAGATGTTATGTTAGGTGAAACAAGTCAAGTGCAGAAAGACAAACACCACATGATCTTACTCGTATGTAGAGTCGAAAAAAGGTGTTTTCTTAGAAGTAAAGAGTAGAATAATGGTTACCAGAGGCTGAAGAGAGTAAGGAAAAGGGAGAGACAGGGAGAGTTTGGTCAGTGGTTACAAAATTACAGCTAGACAGGAAGAATAAGGTTTTGTGTTCTATTACACAGTAGGGTGACTATAGCAAATAGCAATGTAGTATCTATTTTAAGATAACTAGAAGAGAAGATTTTGAATGTTGTCACCACAAAGAAATAAGAAATATTTAAAGTGATGGATATGGTAATTACCCCCATTTGACCATTATACTGTGTACATGTACATTGAAAATCATATTGTACCCCCATAGATATATAGAATTATATGTGTCAGTTATAGTATTTTTTTTTGAGTCAGGGTCTCACTCTGTTACCCAAACTAGAGTGCAGTGCACAGTCATGGCTCACTGCAGTCTCAAATTCCTGGACTCAAGCAATCCTCCCTCTTCAGCCTCCCAAGTAGCTGGGGCTACAGGCACACACCACCATGCCTGGCTAATTTTTTTTTAAATATTTTGTAGAGACGAGGTCTCACTATGTTGCCCAGGCTGGTCTCAAACTCCTGACCACAAGCAATCCTCTAGCCTTGGTTTCTCAAAGTGCTGGGATTACAGGTGTGAGCCACTACTGCCAGCCTGTCAATTATAAATAAGGCTGGGCTCGGTGGCTCAGCCTGTAATCCTACGCCTTTGGGAGGCTGAGGTGAGTGGATTGCCTGAGCCCGCGGGTTCGAGATCCGCCTGGGCAGCGAGACCTCATCTCTACAATAAATCAAAAAATCAGCCAGGCATGGTAGCACATGCCTGTAATTGCGACTACTTGGAAGGCTGAGGCGGAAGGATCGCAGGAGCCCAGCAGGCGAGGCTGCGGTGGCCAGGAGCGGCCAGTGCACTCCAGTCTGGGCGAACGAGTGAGACTCCAACTCAAAAAAATAAAAAATAAAAATAAAAAAATTAATTTAATTTAAAAAAGAAACTGCTTCTGCCCCAAAACAAAGTTATTAATTTAGAGAGACATGCCAATTAAAATGCAAAACAAAATGGAGTACTAGCTAGAAGTTAAAACCAAGTGATAGGGAAGCAAAGAGGGAACATTTGCTTTCTCACATGGAAACTGAATGGGAGCTACATTTGAACTGGGACTTGAATACTACATAAATAAGAAGAGGAGAGGGAGTGTTAGAGTAGATGTAGGGCATTTTAGGCTGAGGGCACAAAATGAACAAAGAGAATTATGAAAAGGGAGTGATGACAGACATTTCCATATGGATCTTAGTATTCATGAGGTGGAACGTAATGGAGATATATCAAATTGGCAAGGTCATTTGGGACCAGATCATGTAAGGCTTTACATGCTAGGCCAAGGAGGCAGATTTAATGAGTAATAAGGAGCCACTAAAGACTCCTGAGCAGGGAAGAGACATGATCCAACCAAGTGATGGCAAAAGTCAAACAGAAAGGTAAACTCTGATGAGACATTAAGGGAGGGGGAATGCTGAATTTAGGGTGACCAGTTAGGAGGTTACTGAAATAATTTAGACAAGAAAATGATGAGGACCTACATTAAGGCAGCAGGGATGGAAAGAAGGAAACATGGGAAACACCAAGGAAGTAATTACCATCACTGCATCACTGACCAGGTGAGCAAGGAGGATTTAGATATGATCCTGAGGTTACTAAACCAAATGACCAGAAGGATTCTGATGCCATTAACTGTGATTGGAAACAGTGGAGGGTGAGCAGTATTTAGATAGTTGCAAGAATGTGGGGGAGGAGATATATCATGATGCTTAGAAATATGTCATGTATATGATTAGAAAACTAATTCAGTAGATTTTTTTGTAGTTGGGCTATATATAGCATGTATGAATATGGATTGTGGGAATTGAAGCACAGCATTGTTCCTAAGATGTAGACAATGTGCATTTCTTAACTATCCATGATTTTTAATGTCCATCGGACCACAATGGCTAGTATGTTCCTGAGTATCCACCCCTGCCACCTACCTCATACCTTCTAGAAGAATAAAAACTTATTTCTGTTAGTCAAAAAACTTATTAGAAATCTTTAAAATTGGCCAGGCTTGGTGGCTCAGTTTGTAATCCTAAGGAGGATTACAATCCCAAGGAGGGAGGCCGAGGTGAGTGGATTGCCTGAGCCCTTGGGTTCAAGACCTGCCCGGGCAACTTGGTGAGACCTCATCTCTACAATAAATCAAAAATTAGCCCAACGTGGTAGTGCGCACCTGTGGTTCCCACTACTTGGAAGACTGAGGTAGAAGGTTTGCCGGAGGTCAGCAGGTTGAGGCTGTGGTGGGAGCGTGCTACTGGACTCCAGTCTGGGTGACGGGGTGAAACTCCAACTCAAAACAAAAAACAACAAAAAAGAAATCTTTAAAATTATAATGTAGTTCAAATCCTAAATTTTAGAATTATCTGTGCTTTCAAAGATTATACAGGTTACAATATCAAGAATGAATGCTACATTATATAATTAATCAAAACTTTATAACCAGACGTTCTCCTGAAAGATGACTTATAGAGAAAAGGTAATGTCTGTGCTTTTAATGCCATAGTTAGAAATGTAAAGCCCCCAGATAAATAGAAAAACTACTCTGTGGCAAAATTACCAGTTCTTCAGACCCTTAGGGGTATTTAGGTCATATGCTCATACTGGAAGAAGATACAAAAAAAGGTATCTACATTTCAGACTCCTTTACTCTGTATTGCTTTTGAGATTTTTTTCCCCATGTAAATGAGAACAGAATGAGTCATTAACCTCTATCAAACTGAGTGATCATACATGAGTCAGTAAAGTAATAAAAGAGTTTTACTAAATGGCTATCATGTGTAAAAATAATGTCTTTTGGAACTGTAGAGATTTGTAATAATTTCCTTTGAATATAATTTGTAATTAATCACTTCAAATAGAGAATCTCTTAGCTATCATACGGTGAGATATTTCTTTTTTGGCCTCATCTTTTGAAGACTTTGGTTAATGGAGGCTGTCAATTTAAGGTATTATTTGAATAATAATTATACGTACATTGCCATTTAAGGTTTGTACCTTTAATTTGATAATTGGAAGTGCAAGTACTGTTTTAACATTGTACTTCTGTATTTAAATTCTAGTCTAAAGGTCCTTTTAGAGTCATGTGTGTGTGGTTGTATTTATTCCAGATTGGAGTTTGATTATTAACCTAGATTAGCACCTTAACCTAATATCAGTGGGCGATTTCTCTGGCTGGTAATACCCAAACATTCAAAGAGTTCTGTTCTTTTGCTTAAGATTATTGGTCTCAGGTCATACAAATTATAAGGAATATAAACCTTTATGAGCATTGGGATGGCGTGAGCAATCTGACATTCTCACAACATTGGGAAAGATAATGTTTATTCTTTGTTTTTTCCATAAAGCTTATACATTTGGTGGTAGAGAGTGAGGTATTACAGATATTAGACCTAGTAATAAACTTAATCTAATTTCAGGCTTGTCTTTAATTAGTGCTGAATAGAAATGCACATTTCTGTGTATCTTCATTGCTAACCTGATTAGGTCTGTGTAGAACCTTAGAATACCTTGGACAAATTTTATATTATTTTTGAGATCATGGAAAAAATGGAACATTATGGATATATATATAAGTCGTACATTTGAACTTGTAAACATTATTTGTCTGAAATTGCAATCCTAATGTGTAAATCTTTATACATTAATAGTGAGCTCATGCAAAGGCTTATCACCTTAGAAATTGGGAAATATGAGGTTAAATTCTTCTGTATTTTACAAATTTTAAATTCCTTAGAATGTAAGCCCTATTTACTACCATCCAGGGGATTCTTTGTCTTTAAGCAAGCCTTCATATAAGATGCAAATTGGTCCTCAAAGGCAATATTGTTGAATTATAGGTAGTTAATCTGAGGAGGGGGGAGGGGGAACGTGTTTGTATATAATAGCTTCCTTACTAAGCTATGAGTTCCATAAGGTCAGTGATCAATAATTAAAACTTACATGTGTTTATATCCCCTACAGTATATATACATGAGTGGGAACCAGAAACCAGGAATTTATTTATAAAAAATTGTGTATTTATTCTTACATGTTTAAACTTTGGTCACCTTCAAAGTACTCTCAGTTTAATGCAGTGCATCTAGCGAGACACTTTTTCAACTGCTTAAAACAGTGTTTGAACTCATCGACTTTGATGCCTCTTAGTGCTTCTACTTTTTTTGTTTCACCTCTTCCACATGGGCAAAATGTTTCCCTTTGAGGATTTTTTTCATTGGGGAAACAAACAAAAAATGTTGTTCAGGGCAAGATCAGGTGAATATGGAGGATGGCGCTCAGGGATCATGCTGTTTTTGGTCAAAAACTGCTGAACACTCAGCATGGTGTTGGCAAGTTGTTCATATAAACCACCCATCATGAAATGGCAAACACAGCCCCTCACAACAACACTGGTTGGTACACTGATGCTGATGGGGTCCTAGAACACTTACCTAGTGGGGGAAGTCTGTACTACAAAGGGCCCACCCTCCAAAAAATTATTCTAGATTTTTATATGTATATATGTAGTAGCTTCTCAAAAAATGTTAATTGAATAAATGAATATCCTTTATTTGTCTCATTGAGAGTCATTTAAAATTATTTTAACAATTGGATTTTTGTGCTAAGAATAATTTACCAAACTAAAACCAAGTTTGTTTACTTTCACAGGTGCAGGAGATATTGTTGCAATCATGATCGGCAATCTCAAAGGCACAAAAATTCTACACTCTATTCAAAGAAATATACAAGTAACAATGGTCATTGAAGTAGGGAAAAAACATGGCCCCTGGGTCAATCACTATTCAATTTTTTTTGTTTCTGTGTCCTTTTTTATTATTACGGCGGCAACTGTGGGCTACTTTATCTTTTATTCTGCTCGAAGATTACGGAATGCAAGAGCTCAAAGTAGGAAGCAGGTTTGTAATAGTCCTTTCTTCCAATTTTAAAATATTTTTACTGTTTTACTTGTAGTTTCAGTACCGTGTATTTTAATGTGCTTTACTTGCTAGACGATGATCTATGTATATGTTTTAAGAAATCTGGTAGTTTTTAAAAGTATGTCATTTTATCTTCTCAAATCTTTCATTTTCTGTATTTGTCAAGGAACTTAATCCTTCCTGATTAAATCTTCTACACCTCATTAGGAAACACAGTCAGCATTTAATTATATATGGGTGTAAATACATATGTTCTTTTAAATAAACTGATTTTTCTGAATTAAAAGAACATTTCATACATAATATAGAAAATTTAGAAGTTAGAAAGCACAAAGGAAAAAAAACTTCACCTGAAGCCTATAGTCACTGCCCAAAGGTAAACCACCATTATTTTACATGTATGTGTGTATTTGCAGGTGGGGAAATGGGCTCAGAAAAGAGACTAGGCCTGAGTATCACGAGAAGGCAGGTTTAAAGATTTAACTGTGTATGATATAGTGCAGGCTCCAGAGTCACATATTGGTGATTTCTACGAGATTATAACATTATATAAAGAAGTACAAAGTATAGGAATAATAGAGCAAAAGTACCAAAGCATTATTGAATGGGCAAGGACCTAAGGTTGTGTGGCATTCATTCTACCACCTTTAAAATATCCTCACTTCTATCCTTACCCAGCTTAAATTGTGTGGTCGCTCCCATACATGCATCTTTAATTCCCTTGGTCCTTCTCTCTCTTTCTTCAACTTGCTGGCAAAACCCAACCCTGGTTAAATCCTACTTCCCACCTACTTTTTGCCTACACCTTGCACAGCTGAAGTAACAGAAAAGATTACTGACTAATCTCACTTTAAACAGAAAAGATTACTGACTAATCTCACTTTAAATTGACCAAAAACTCAGAGTGGGTTCTTATTACTGCCTAGGAATCACACTATGTTTTCTTATAGCCCTTTACTCTCCTACTTTTGACTAATCATACATGTTCCTTTCTCCTTAAGCCTCCAACACCTCCTTTAACTTTACTCTCAACTTGTATCTTATTCCACTGAGAAAGTTGAAGCAACCGAGTGTTTTTCCACATCTATTCGTCTATTTGCATCTGAGTGTATCCTGCTCTTCTGCTTTGTCTTCTGTTATTATGGATTATGTGTTCCTTTTCAAAGGTCACCTCTTTCACTTGCACACGTGGTAACCTTTTTGTCTTTTGTATACTCAAGGACATCACTCCAGCAATTGTCTTCTCTCACTCTCCTACTTCAGCAATTTCTCCCTCTCCTCTGAATCTTTCCCATCAACACATAAACATAGTATTGCTCCCATCTTCAAAAGATTTTCTCTTGACTCCAGGCCAGAAACCTTGGAATTAGTCTTTATTCCTCTCTCTCTCTCTCTCTCTCTCTCTCTCTCTCTCTCTCTCTCTCTCGTACTTCACATATAAACTGTATCAGCAAATCCTGTTGATTATATATCCAGAATCCGATTATTTCTCCCGACCTCCCAAAACACCATTATTTTGTACCTTCTCCTCATTTGAGGTATTCTTAATATAACAGCAGAATGGTGTGCCAGTTCTCCAGAATACTTAGTAGGGATTTAATGCTTTTAGATAATATTATATAGTAGAGGCAACAGAATAAATGTTTCTATGTGCTGAAAAGTTCCTCCAAAGGCAACTTTCTGGCCACCTCTTGAACTCTTTTTTCAATAAGTAAAAAGGAAGTCAATTTATTTAGGAGGTGGGGAGAGCAGTGAGGGCTCTTATATAGCAAGAGAGTTTATTGAATTTGGAAATAAATGAGGAATTGAAAATTTTAAATAAAAACTTCATAAAGATTAGATACTGGCATATGATAGTGATAGTTATCTCGATATTTAAAGTTAATTGACTTCTGTCCTTCTCCTCAGAGAAGCAGTTTATCACATTGGCGGCAGGTTCAGCCTGTTACTAGCTGTGATCAAAAAGATAAGATTCCTGTCCCAGGCCACTCAATAGTTTCACATTGTGTTAATATTTGACATTTATATATTGTGCTATTTTTATCTGTGAGGCTAGAAAGAAATTGGTATCCAGTATGACTAACTATTCAAAGGTTTTAATTACAATGACAAGAGTCTTTAATTTGCATGTGTGCATGGTGGGGTATGTGTTTCTGTGTTCTTGGTGCTATTATAAATTTATTAACATAGCATTAAGCCCCATCAGCAAGTAATAAGGTTTATAAAAAACTTTGGTGTTATGCAGCTTCATTGGACATTTAGCTCTGGTGTCATTGTTTAAGAAATTTTCATAGTTTATAATATATTCTATGAAAATTAATCTCTGTAGAAATGGTCAAGAATAGCATTAAAGCTTCTCATCTATAAGAGAAGTCTTTCGAAAGAGCTTTTAAAAATTACTTAGTGGACTATATCTGTTTATTCTTTGGGGATTAAAAGATTTAAATATATGACTGGCAATCCCTTTTGCTTGTAAATATTTGAGAGTGCTAGAATTTCATTTGCATATTTAATTTTCATGACTCCTATTTGTTTTTAAAGGGTAGAACTTAATGCATTGCTAGTTATAACTATGACTAAGCATGTAACTGCATTATCTTCACTTTACTGGTAGAAATGATGAACCTGAGTTATGGAAACTTACCTTTATTAGAATATTAGGAAAAATTATGATATTCAGGAATTTCTTCCTTCTGAAGACTGTGATGCATAGTATATAATGTCAGGCAAACTGATAACAGTGTAACCATAAATTTTGATGACTAAATGCTCAGTTGAGCCCCCCAGATGTAATAATGGCCTGGTATATCATAGTGTGATGTGTAAGAACATACATCATCCGTTTTTGTGGGTTGAAAGCTTTTAAACAGGATGAAAAGTATTGATGGATTATAAACGATAATAATGTTAGGCAATACAAGTCGGTTCCCATTGGGAAAAACCCTAAGTTGAGACAAGGAAGACTGTGTGAGACCTTATGGCGTATTCAGGCAACTACACTTGGGAGCAACCACTTACACTTGACTCTACCATGGGACACCAAACATTTTGTGAAACAGGACATGTATCTTAATTGTATTCAAGCAGTTAATACTCAATGGCAACAACGAATGTGTTAGGTTAAACACTGGCCAGTGAAACAAACGAGAGCTCTAGATGAAAGAGGAGCTGGCCTAAGTATCATAGGAAAAGCTGAATTTACTTTTATTGAATAGTGACTTTCAGAAGAAAATGATTTACTAACTGAAACAGACAGATTGGAAAGAATCATCTTCCAAGAAGAGAAAAAAGAATGGGTATCCACTTGGAAAGTTGATAAAGCCTTGATAAAAATGGTCACACAAACCCAACATATAGTGCTAGAGAATGCTGAGTCAACAATGGGAAAGAGAATATACCCAACACAACAGAGTCTATTAACTATATATATGAGGGCCCAAGTAGGCATGGAATAATGGTCTTCCAATTTTAGCTGTGGAAGCTCAAACAGAGAATCTTTGAGGTATATGCAGATCCCCAAACTTATAAAAATTGGGAGGGTAGAAATTGCAACTTACATTGCTGATCTCTGACTGATCTTGACCAAAGGATGGACCAAAATAAGACTAGTGAGAATAGAACTAATTCTGAGTGACACCTATGTACTCCCCAAGGGAGAGAAATGGCCTTCCTGCACAACACTTAATGGGAACCTATAACTGTATAACAATATGAGTTGAAACAAACTATTAGCTTTGTCCCCAGCTAACATGGAACTTAGAAGTGACAGAATAATTGCCACTGGTGGCAGCACTTGTTCATAGTAATATCTGGTATATGGGCAAAGGCCAATTCTTTTAGGAAACTTTAATAAATACTTCTATGATACTTCCTGTTTTGTTTTTGTTTTTGTTATTTTTTGTAATCAAACCAAACTGTATCATAACCATGCTCTGATATGGTGTAATACTGGTATTTTTGGTAAGATTCAGCTACCTTGTATAAATAATTCAAATGTATTTGGAAAATTGAACTAAAAGCTACTCAGGATATAATACCAAGGGAAAGTAATTGGCCTCAAGAAGAATTAAAATGATTCAGTTCATTACTATGTTAAAAAGCTCAAAGTTCAAGTGACCATAGATTAAGAGAATAAATGGATAACTAAATTGGCATAACAATATAAAGATGTTTGTGACTATCTTATAAACTAGATAAGTTGTTCCTTTGAGCCTATTTCCACCCATCATTGGTTTCTGTAAGTATTAGATATACTTATATTATTCTTATGGCACCTTACATATAAATATTGTACTAACTGAACCCTATATACAACTGATCCTTGAACAACACGGATTTGAACTACATAGATTCACTTACACACAAATTTTCTTCCACTTCTGCCACCTCTGAGATAGCAAGGCCATCCCCTCCTCTTCCTCCTCCTCAGCCTACTCATTGTAAAGACAGTAAGGATGGAGACTTTTATGATGATCCACTTCCACTTAATGAATGGTAAATATATTTTCTCTTCCTCGTGATTTTCTTAATAGCATTCTTCCTCCAGATTACTTTAAGAGTACACTATATAATATGTGTAACATACAAAATATGTATTAATCAATGTTATTGGTAAAGCTTCTAGTCAACAGCAGGCTATAAGTTGTTAACTGTTGGGGGAAATCAAAAGGTCTTTGTGGATTTTTAACTGTGTGGAGGTCATTGCCCCTAACTCCCACATTGTTTAAGGGTCAACTGTGTATAATACGCTATATTATAAATACTGTGCAACTATACTAAATACTGTACTAACTGAAGCAATAATATATAAATACTTTACTAACAGTTACTATACTAACTACAGTATTGTGAAAAGGCTTTGACCAAGGACAGGGGTTTGGATTGTGAGGAAAGAGGTAACACAACAGATCGTTTTTTTCCTTACATGTCCCCAAGGGAACCGTGATTGGCCCTTGGCCAACCCTGGGAATGTGACTCTC